GTATTATTTAAAATTGGAAACAATCTAAATGTTTTAAAGCCCTGGAATATTTAAATAAAATATAAAATAATTATACCATTATAAAATCAACAAAGTCATTGAAAAAAAGCTTATAGAAGATGGAAAATGCTTGGATATAGGTGAATAAAGCAGTAAGTTACAAAGCATATTTATTTTAATTTCATTTCAGAGAATAAAACAGAAAATACTGGAAATTTATATACTTAGATATAGATATAGCTATCTTTTCCATGGGTATATGTTTTCTATGAACATAAGAATTTGTTCCTTCAAATAAAACATACTTTTTAAACACACACACACACACACACACACATATATGTATATATAATACCATATTTCACTTTTGTTATTAAATATTAACCCACATGATTATAGTGTAAGTTTTGACATGGAGTTCAACGACTCTTTTTTATTTATTCTTTCTCAATATTTTCTTTATTATGCTTTGTTGTTGTTGTTAAGTGCCCTCAAGTTGGTTCTGACCAGTAGTGACCCTGTATAGGGTTTCCGAGGAGCAGCTGGTGAGCTTGAACTGCTGACCTTGAAGTTCAAATGGCTTTGCAGTCTGGCACATTGACCCTTAGCCATTTATTTTTTAGACAACAAAATAATTTGGTCAAGTTTCATTTTGATAAAACATTCTTTAAATTTAGAAAATAATTTGAGGGACAATTGTTCTATAAGCAAGGAAAACAACAAAGATATAGCAAAATGTTCCTATACTTTCTGAAATGTATGACTTTTTTGATTATATAAAATAGGCAACATTATTCTAAAAGAAAATGAATTATTATAGTGCCTACAGCAGGTATTTTAGTTTCTGAATCATTCTTGTTGTTGTTGTTGTCAGGGGCCATCGAGTCGGAACCGACTCATAGCGACCGCATGCACAGTAGAACAAAACAATGTCCAATCCTGGGCCAACCTCACTATTGTTGCCACGGTTGAGCCCATTGATGCTGCCAATTGGCCAATCCATCTCGCTGGGGGTCTTCCTCTTTTTCTCTTACCTTCCAAGTCGGTACCGAGTTGATGGAACCTAACAACAACAACAACAACAACAACAACAACCCTTCCTCCCAGTGTCCCTTCAGTAGTAGGTCCACAAGTCCTTGTGAACAATGGGGCTAGATGTGGAGTATAGCAGAAATGTTCAGGACTGCAGAGATTTTACGATTGGAGTAGCCCCCTCTGGTCCTGAGCTCCAGTGGCTTGTCTTTAAGGGACGAGTCACTGAGTGGTCGAGCAGGGTTTTAGATCATCTTTGTTTTATAGAAGATGCAAGGGGTGCTATGTAGGAGTCTCAGTCTTTGAACAAAGTTCAGCCCTCAAGTGGAAGACACAGTCCAGAGTCTCAGTATGAGGTTTCTCAGTGACTAAGGAATACTCCATAATCAAGGCAGAGGACAATGATGATCAGTTACGAAGCTTCCATTACTGCTTAAGACAATTGGAACCAGTCTATTTTTTTTTTCTCTTTTTTTCTGTATCTTGTAAGCAAAATAAACCTAAGCAAAACACCTTCTCCCATCCCAGCCCACTCCATATTTCCAGGATTATTAGTTAAAAAAACACACAAAACTATTATTAAAATAAATTATCAGATATATTTCAAGATAGATCAGTAAAATTATGTGACCACAAATAAACAATGCTGTCATTTAAATCTACCAGTTCCTTTCTATTAAATAGACTTCTCAGCACATTTTTTTGTATTGTGATATGGTGCTCAAATTTATCCTTACTTTTTGAGGTATATTTCCCCTCTTTGGGTGATTTCTAGCAAGACTATTTTGTTTTGTTAAAAAAAAAAAATATTAGTGTTGGCGCTTCCTCAGCTGTCTATGCATGTTTGTCCTTTCTAGCTGGTGACCTCAGCTCATTAGAGCTCTTCTAATGAGGCCAATGTCAGATGTCCTTTCTACTTATAGAACAGTGAAATTTCCTTAATTCTTTAGCAACCAGGGTTAGCTCGCCTTCTCGTAGGGCATTTCACAAGTGAATGCTGCTGCTTTTAAACATAAAAAAAAAAAAAAAAATCACATGAGACACTGTAGGTGAAGAAACAAAAGTATACTCTAACCACTTAAATAATTCTCTCAGTCAATGTAAAGTATTATAGCATTATACTCTATCTGCTGTTTACGACCAGACATTCTTACAAGATTTTTTTTTTTTTTTTTACATAATATCTAGCACAGTGACAGGCCCCAACAGTTACTTTATACTTTTGACGATGGCACCTATATGGATGATGTTCAATATGGATGGAAATTATGTCCGTTATTAAACTAATTTTGAAAACATTTTGATGCATCTAGTGTGTCCTAGAGCATGCGTGAAGATAGTCCTTGCTAGCTTAATTTTCTAAGTGACATGAGAGAAGAAGATAAATAGTTTCGTGGAAAAGGAAAGGCAGGGCAGGGGATAGGACTCGACTTAAGGGAAGGAAAAGAAGAGGAGAGTCAGAAGATGGTCTGAAAAGCAATTCCTATTGGAGATGGGCTTCAAAGGACACATCACATTTAGGCACCTGGAGATGTGCGAAAGGGCATTGTCAACGGAGAGCAACAAATACAGAATCCGACAAGTGCAAGGCAAGTTCAGAAGCACAATCAGCTTGGCTAGAGCACAGGGAGTCTGAAGGGAGCTACAAACTTGATCAGAAATACATTCCCCAGCCAGAAGGTTAGTGGGAACCTTGAATGCCATGCCAATGCATATAAAGAAGGCAGAAATTAGAGATGGTCTACTGATGGGGGATGGGAAGTACATTTGATAAGGTCTGTTACTTGGTGCTTTTTGCTTGTGAGATAGGATAGGGTATGTGGCTTGGGGCTGAAGAAAGTACTGGACACACTGGTTTCAGATGCCAAAACAAGCAGAAAATCGGGGGGCATTTTAAACTTCCCATGAAGGTTTAAAGCCTTCGAAACCCTCTAGAGAGTTACTCTGAGTCAGAACGGACTCAATGACCCTTAGCAACAGCAACAACAATGATAAACAGAGACTCTCATCAGAGAAATAAAACTGTAAAAAAAACAAATAAAAATCTCATTGATGAAAACTACAATAACTTA